AACCAAAAAAAAATCTAATTGTATAATGTACAGATTACACGAATACTCGTGCATGGTAAAAAAAAGTTGAAGAATCGGTTGGCCAGAAGGGGGACACAGTAGTTGAGATCTACGACGTCAAAAACAAGTCAAAACGAAATAATTAAAATAGTATACTATATTATGTTAAAAAAAACAAATTATAAATAATCATTTTTAAATTTGCTTTATAAAACGAGGATGTATAGAGGAAGAAGAAATTTTTGCTTTGGTTGGCTTCAGGTGCAAGACGCATGAAGTCCACATGAATATCCATGTTAATATTCGCTGTATTTTTCTACTAACCAATCAAAATAAAATGACTTTTTTCCCTCAACAAAACTCATTTTATTACATCATACTAATAGTTAAATAGTATTATCATTACACAGAGCGAAAGTGATAATACAAGAAAGCGAGTATGAAATGAATCAAAAAGACAGTTTGTGCCGACATGTAGAAGATTGCGGCCCAAGAAGGCGACATGCGCAAATCTATTTGATAAGACTCGGAATCTTTTATCACAAGATTTCGCCCCATCTATCTTCCCTCAATTATTAGTGAATAGTGAGTATCATTTTTCTGATATCCATGTTTATCACTTCACTATTAACATGTGTGAATTATATGTGATTACATATTAAAACTTGCATGTTGAGATTCTTCGTCAAAATTTCTCTCATTACAAATTTACATTAACTCATCGCATAATCGAAAGAAAATACTCACACGAATTATATAATCATCTATATTTTCTAAAATCTAATTTGTCTAAGCGGAAATCTGAATATTGAATATCCATTATATAAAAAAAAACTATAAGAGTGTATCTATCTTTAAATAATTTGTTTTTTTTGTTAGTAAAGAAAATATGCGAATTTCATTTCACTAAATGGTCTCTCATTTTCTTTATTTTATATTTCTTATTAGAAACATAAAATTGTTTTATAATTGTAATAGAGTATATCGGAGTCCAACTAAAATCTCACCCAAACCGATTACAAACCAGATACCTAATTAACCAACCCACTATCCCAAACCAATAAAAAAGAAATGGTATGAAACACTTAAGTCTATTACCGAAATGATACTAAATCGATTAAGTACTCGTAACCCTGATTAAAACAAGCTAAATGTTATGTAGTAATCGATTGAATTTGTAAGTAGAAACAAAGGCTATAGTATCGATCGTATCCACTTGTCTTTCAACAACTACCATATAGTCTTAGCTTGTCTTCTTGTCAATCTCCATGGACAATTTTCCAAGAGCCTTTTTTTAGATGGGATCTCGATAATCTATCGCATAGTACTCCGAACAATCTATACGGAATTCGCAACGAAAAACAAAAAAACATCATTTAGCTTTTTTTGTTCTTTCTCATTTACAATACTTTGTTTTCTCACAAAACTCACACTGCTTACCATTAACGAAAGCTCTCAGCACGATCTCTCTTAATACAAGTTCTTTCACAAAAGCATTATGTTTTTTCAAGCTCTATGTAACTTATGCAGCTAGTATCTTACGTTTCAACATGAAGAAATTGGATATTGGCCAGCAAATTGATTTAAACAAAACCTTGCCAACAAGGTTGAATAGGGATGAGAAGTATATAGTGCATTTATGCCGAGTTCTCAGATGGAAAACGGTAATTAAACAACTATACTACAATGCATGTACCTCTAACATAACTACAATCAACGAGAATTATGAGATTGATGACCGAGTAAAGAATACATAAACATTCTCGGATAATACACGTGGTTATAAAGTGATAGATGACATACATCACTACAAAAAAAGAGGTGGATTGTGTCATTTATTTTATGAGTTTAAATCATTTTTAGATTGACACAACTGAAATTACATTATTTCTATAAGTGACTTTAAAAATGGTGACTCTAATTTTTTGTATCAATAAAAAAGACCGACACAAATATTTTCATTATTTATTATAATTGATGTTAATATGTATCACTTATACAAAATGAAGCTAAATCTTACATCACTTTGTATATATGATGTTAAAATATTTTTTTTTTACGGCAATCAATTTGTGAAAAATTCTTTTTATTTTTTTCATAAATAATTGTAACACTATTATTATTTTATCAGTAGTAATTTATTATATTGATCAACTGAAAATTTAAAGTCAAATTTAATTATAGACTTTAATTTTTTTGCTCACTAATCTTAAGAATGGGTAATAAATCTCCACTATTTATAGAATATTTTATCTCCACTTCCATGCTCAATAATCGATGTGGGACAAAAACTAACATACCTTTTTAAATATCAAATTAAGAAAAAACGAAAATTAAATAATATTACCATCATTTCTTAATTGATATAAATACATATATCAATTGTTTAACTAATATAAATTTATATTTTGTGTCATTTTTTAACAAANTGATGCAAATTACATTAAATTTACATCAATTTTGTGGAAATGATGTCAAATAAGTCAATAACAATATCAATTATGATAACTAATTTTAAATCACAAATTTTGTGTCACTTATTATTAAGTACTATAAATTAATACCATTTAATTTATTGATACTATTTAAGTGATGTAATACACTAAATTTTTTGTAGTGCATTCACAATTCAAGATCAAACATACATTCACAATTCAAGATCAAGCATATGATACATTTTGGGAGGGGGGGGTCCTAGAAATATTTAAATGACAATAGATACATTATGTAAAATTTGGGGAATAACATTTGTTAAACATCTTGTAATGGAGTTTCTAAAATAAATTGTTCACCTTTCCTTGTTTTTCATTCGTTTTGGTATGTTATATATATATATGTATACTTTAAAATATCGCCAAAAATTTCTACTAAAATAATGAGACACTCTAAACTAAAAAAAAAACTAGGTAAGATTCTTAATTCAGATTAAGCATATCTACTAGAAACGTGGATTGAAAATGCTAATACTACAAAGTTTTGCGATTTGTGAGTCCAACCTGATGTAGCGACGTCGTTTAATTGTTACAACATTAAAACGTTCACCACCAATGGGCCAAAGGGCAATTATGTCATTCACAAGACTACTGTACCGAAGGGTTCGTAGAGAGAGAGAGCGATCTTCAGTGTTCGTCGCGAAGGATTTGATTTTTCCAAGTTTTGATTATCGGTGAGAGAAATTGGATCAAAGGAATATTGGAAGTTAGGGTACAATTCTGTAACCTAATTCGTGTTTGGGTATCTGAATAATTCCGATTAGCAGGAGCCGCTTTCTAGAAACAATTATGGTTTTTGATCTTCCGGCTCTGATATTGTGAAAGTATTAATTATGTATGAATCTCTGTGTTTGATTTCCTTGAATCAATCCAACATTTTGTTATATACTCAAGATTTTGTTCAGTTACCTATTTATATGATTTGTGTGTTTATGCACAAGATTTTACTGTATTTCATAGTTGATAAATATGGTTTTTGAACTTTTGGTCACTTCCATTTGTGTGTTTAGCTTAATCATGTTCTAATGGTGAATTATTTGAAATTTTATACTTCCATATGGACTGTTTCTTGGTGGTTTGGTGAATTCCTTTGTCTGTACCTTGGCTTGAAGCTTTTGTCATCAATAACTTTGATCATTATTGCTTTACTCTGTCTGATACATTTTTATATGATCTTTTCAGTCTCTAGTGACAAATTCAGTTTTCAGGGACTGAGAGCTACTGGAGACGCCGGCTTTGTGGTTTATGCAAGCGATGAATCGCAGAGTTCACATTCTCGCGGTAACTTTCAAATCTCAATCCTTTAGCTATCTTCAATGAAGAAGATGTAACAAAGTATAAACCGAGATATAATCGAGCGAAAACAGTATTGGTTTTTGACTATTGATAGTAACAATCTTATCAACTGATACATATTTGCTTTAGTTATTCAACATTATCTTACGCAGATAGCAAGATATGTCGCTAATCGCACAAGTGTTTGTTTCTCTACAACTATCAGGTTCTTGATGTTTATAAACAGATCAATCATTTCCTGAAAGAGTAAAACACTGTGAAGATGTAAACACTAAGAGCAGAAGAGACCAAGACAACAAGCGCCAACACGGTATGAATCGTCAATGAGTTACCGCAAGAGAGCAGCCCGAGACGGAGCTGAATAATATCAACTATTGACAACAGAAGGAATACACATCCCAAGATGGATCCACCGGCTGAACCAACCACACCGAGACGAAGCACATCCTTGTTGATTGTTGCTTTAAAAGCTTCGTCCGTTTCTTTGCTGTTTAACAAGTTGATGGCTAGCTTCATCCCTTGAGCCACGAGGGAAGAGAAGAGGAAGAATGCAAACGAAATGACTTCGAACACAATGAGGTCTCTTTCCACGTCTATTCCCGCGTTGCACTCGGTCCTATCCGTGAGGGTGAGGTCGCGCGGTTGGTCGAAAGCCATTCCGACAAATACTGCAACCGTGAAGATAGAGTTTGCGTTAACTATCCCGTCGAGGGCTGTAACGTGAACGCTTGTGGTTGATGATGTGGTTGATTGGTTGCTGTTGTGGTTGCTGTTGGTCTCTATGTCGGAATCTGCCATTACTTACCAATGGATCTCTTTGGTATTAGCTCAAAATGATTCTTCTAATGATGGATCATTTTCTTCTGTTGTATTCTTATGATTCTTCTTCCCATTTTAGTGATTTGGTAATGTTTGTTTAAGAGTGGGTGGTGTTTGGTTTAGAAACGATTAGCATTAAGAAAAGGATGTGTATGTTAAAATGACTAATCTAACCCTTTTCGAGTCTTGGAAGGTACACACTTTTCTCCTTTTGTTGAGAAAGAAAAATGATTCTTCTAGTAAAACAAGACAAATGTTTATAGGCTTATAGCTAACTTACACGTTAACTTCGTTTTTATTTGCCTGTCCAATAAATCGGGTTAGGTCTAAACGGCACTTATGGGCTAAAAGTACTTCTACTATGACAATTACATTTTAGATTGAATAACAAAAATTTAATGGTAAATAAAAAGAATAACAAGCCAAAAAAAACAAAAAGAACGTGTGTTTAGATTATGACCGTCAGTCCATAATACAAATAATTGATTTTGGAAAGAAAGAGCAAGACTAATTAATTTTGTTATTAATTTTATTTCTCATCAAATGAATGGCATTTTCTTCTGAAAATCCTAGCTTAGTAGATAATCGGATTAGTCTTCTCTTTGTCTCATCTTCCATCTTTATACTCCAAATTCCTAAATTCCAAAAATGTCTAGTTTGATTCGCTAGTAAGTACTCCACTTTGATTTCCTCCTTCAATTTTTATGATTCACCACCTCTCTTCGATTTACAATTTCTTTTACATGAGATTATTTTATATATTCAAAATGGTTTTTGGGCTTTGATCTGAATAGCTATTAAGTTGTTGTATCCTCTAGTCTAGTTATGTTGTCTATTGGACCGGGATTTGTACACCAACATAGTATTTAAAACAAACCCTGTCCGTTTAATATCTAAAATGTTATTATTATTACTAGGACTCGAACCCTCCGCGAAAATCGCGGGGGTAAAGAACATCCAACTACACTTAAAAAAAAAATTTTTTGCTAACATATCCAAAATATAATTTATTTCTTCGAAACACATGCGAACATAAACTCATAATCATCTTTAAAGGATTTTAAAGCATTGTTTATTATCAATTCTCAAATCGAGTTAACCCATACCGGACATATGAAGACTATGTAATAAGGAAATCAAACATATATATGATATCATATAGAAAATGAACAATATAAATTATTAACATAATTTAAAGAATAACATAAAAGACCATGAAATAGAAGTAAACAAGAAAAAAAGAAGACGCAACTCTATGCGTTAATAACCACAAAACATAATTTTTGAAAAAAACAACCCTATGATACATTAATGAAAAGATAAATATTTATTTTTTTAAAACGCAACTCTATGATGCATCAGTAACCACAAAATATGTTTTTTTAAATGCAACTTTATAATGTATTTGCTAGGATTGCCATTTGAAAACAATTATTATTGACAATTTATACAAATATGAGTACAATGCAAAAGGTAAATCATGGCAATGTACGTAAGAAAAAGCTACAAAAGACCTAACTGAAGTCCTAATAACCATAAATTTTTCTAAAAAAATGCAACCCGTACATTTTCGCAGAATGATAGACACGCTCTAGGATGCATTGTTAACCAGTAGAAAGTTTTTTTAGAAGACACAACCTATGATGCATTAATAACCATAAAATAAGTTTTTCCGAGAAGACTCAATCATATGATGCATTAAAATGATTTTTTTTTAAAAGACACAATCCAAAGATGATTTAATAATCATAAAACTGTTTTTTCAAAAGATGTTATCGTAGGATTCATTAACAACCATAAAATTTTTTTTTTTAAGATGCAACCAAAAGACGCGGCACTTGGTTGTTTTAATAACCATAAAATAGTTTTTTCAAATA